TGGGGGGGGGGGGGGTGAGTGTTTCTGGTCTTTCTTCTGGGACTTTGTTTCTTCTCTGAGCCCCGGGGTTGGCTGTGACAGGCAGGCGGGGCTGAAGCGAGGCTCCTAAAATGCCGAAACTGTGTCGGTGAGGACGTACTGGATCATATTACATGTGTCTGACCACGGTCTCCAAAGTGGCGTCGGTGGTCTAGTGGTTAGGTTACCGGACTCGTAAATGTGAGATTGCGGGTTCAGAGGTTCGAGCCTCAGCTTGGTCCGACGTTATGTCCCCGATAAAGGCACTTTACACAAATTTCCCGTGGGTGGTTGACGGGTGCTCTGGTGTGGTTTACTTCTTCTGTCCTATCAAACATCTATCGTCTTTATCTCTCTCCTTTTTTGTGTTTGTTACTCTCTTGTAACACCTCTAATTTTCGGCACCTATATGACCTTACTGTGTTGCAAAGACCGTAAAACACTTACTAAAACAAACAAATTTCCCACTTGGTTCGCTCCTTTTGGAGACGGAGGTTAAACTCGGAGGTCCGGCGTCTTAAATCACCTAATAGTGTTGACAGGGGCGTTAAACCTATGCCATTTCACCATTTCTTGGTCTCTCAATAGTCTAGACTCATTGGCAACATGTGTATATTCTAGGTATATTCTCCTCGTAAAATTATATCGTATATAATGTGATAACTCCAACCTCTCGGTAATGACCGAATAAATGGCAAAGAAAATCACCAGATCGTTGTGAAAGATGTGCTTGAAGGAAGGATATGGGGCAGGAGAGTCAGGGGCAGGAGAGTCAGGGGCAGGAGAGTCAGGGCAGACAAAGAGTAAAGTGGACAGACTACAATAAGACTTGGACAGGCCTGAGTATAGATCTAGCAGAGTGTGCAACGGCAGCTCGCGACCGTGAAGGCTGGAAGATCATTACACGTCATCCTGTTTTAGTTTTAGTTTTAGTGGAGGTTTTACGGCGCTCGCATCTGCATAAGGTCATATAAAAGCGTCCGCGTCTTAAATAACATAATACTATTATACAGTGTAGTGTTGATAGGGCGCGTTAAACCTATATCATTTCACCATTTCACCATATGAGCGCCAGAAGATTAGAGGCGTTACAAGAGAGTAACAAACATAAGAAAGAAGAAGGGGAGATAAGGACGATATATGTTTCATAGGAAAGAAGAAGCAAACCACACCAGTGCACCCGCCAACCACCCACACGTCAACCCATGAGTCAGAGATGAGCTGACACCTCGAGGTATACATATAATAACTTCAATACTATAATGATGTCTGCCATCTTTTTAAATGCAAAGGTCGACTCGGATCGGAAGATTCACAAGAACCCGATGTAATAACTCAATCTACACAGGTGTTAGTGGAAGCCCATTCACACACCGATAAATAAAAGAGAGGGTCATTGTTAACAGGCTGTAGGGTATACCACGAATGAAAAGGGGATCTTCTTTGACAGATGTTTTTCGCCAATGTAGGTCGTGGTGTCTGTGGCCTAGTTAGACTCTTCTTCTCGCGAGCGTACTGTCGTGGGTTTGAGTAGTATCTCTTCTTCTTCTTCTTCTTCTTCTTCTTCTTCTTCTTCTTCTTCTTCTTCTTCTCCTCCTCCCTTTTCTGTTACTCGTCGTTCTGCAACTGGGAGCAATGACAAGTTGCCAAGATGATCAGCTCTCCCCCCCCCTCCTTTTCCCCCAGTGACCGTTCATTTCACTACAACTATGGTGGACCCCACTCGTAAAGTCTCTATTGAAGCCTCTCCCTGTCTCAGCCACAGACATATATTGATAACCATCGAGGATACCGATTTATTTTTGGAAGCCTTGATAGCAAGAAATAAACAGTGAGAATCACGGGCAACAAAGCTGCAGAGATGGGTGCTGTGACGTCAGCTGCGATGAGCCAATAAAATGTCTACCATCGACCGCACTAAACGGAACAATCCCTATGCTGGTGGTAGTGGTAGCAGCAGACTGCACCAAGTACTAATACACATTCATAATGTAGGATATCATATGTCTGGACATTTCTCAAGCAGTTGCAAACTCCCCCCCCCCCTAAAACAAACAAACAAACAAACAAACAAACAAACCTACACACAATAAAAATAACAAACAAATAAACAAACAACAAAAGCACACAAAAATACAGCGCTCAGGGTCTCAAATGTGAGCAGGGAAGCTCAAGTGAAGAAGAAGTACTGTAGAAGTTTTTTCTCTTTCTGTCTCTGTCTCTCCACACCTCTCTCACTTTTACTCCCTTGTTTGTTTGTGTGTGTGTGTGTGTGTGTGTGTGTGTGTGTGACAAACAATTAGACAAACAAACAAAGGGCGGGCGTGATTCCACGCGGCAACAGATTGTAGCCGGCGATACAGGATATGTCTACAACGAGAAGGAGAAAAAAAAGAAAAGAAAGCAAATCCTCAGAAGCCAGCCAAAGTTGTGCATCTGTTATCACAATAACGCGCCGACGCCCTCAGAAGGCGTGGCCTATTGACGCTGGAATCAAGCACCAGTGCCGGGTGCCATTTCCATTTCCATTTTCATCTAACGAAACTTCATCGACGCTTCGAAGCGTGAAGACTCTATTCGTTCTATTCGAAAACCGAGTGCGAATGTGTTTCTATTCGGTTATATATTTTAAAAATTTTTATTTTATTTTCTCTCATATAATAATATAAGTCCATCTGCAAGGAAGGTGGGAGGTAGGCGGTACAAAGTATTACTGTACTTTTCCTATATTGATTTTAGATTATGCTCAAATTTTAAGCGGGTGGTTGGAGGGTGCGACTGGTAGGTCCTACTTCTTTACTTTCTCCTTCTTCTTCTTTCTGTCTGTCTCAGCACTAAATGGCCATTTTTGTGCCAATCCAATGTGTTTCTCTGTATTCGAACAAAACAAGCAAACGTTTTACAAGGGGATAAGAAAAATTAGACGAAAACCCAATGTCTGTAAAAGTCACACGCCATTCGAATGTCTCTGCCTCACTTCGAATAGCTGTGACTAGTGAACAAATCGTGAAAGTTGAATAGTAGAGTCGAGTAGGCACAGCTCTAGCGAGCGGTTCTCGCAGCCGGCCGCTCCGATTATGATTGATTAGGCTCAGGCTTAGGCTTGGGGGAAAACCGTGGGCGTGCGAGGAATGACAACAGGCTTACAGACAGATAGACAGACAGATAGGTGGGCAGGCAAATAGACAGACAGACAGATAGGTGAGCAGACAGACGGACGAACAGACACACAGATCGTGGTGCTGATGTTAGGGAAAAGTTTAAGTGTTGTGTTGTTATGTAGCATGCCTAATACACGCACTCACGCGCGCGCGCACACGCACACACACATGCACTCACACACACACACACACACTCTCTCTCTCTCTCTCTCTCTCTCTCTCTCTCTCTCTCTCTCTCTCTCTTGCTCCCCCCCCCCCAGTGAGCAGTGTCCCCATCATGTCCAGTACACGTACTCTCAGTGGTCAGAAGTCGTACCACCGTCCACGGCCACACGTGCTGCTTTCCATGGTCTAGTTGTGTTGCAAGTGCCGTAAAACGCTTTCTAAAACTAAAACTATCGCATGTGGCGTCGGTGGCGTAGTGGTTAAGCTACGGGACTGGTAATCGTGAGACTGTGGGTTCGAGGGTTAGGACCTCAGCTCGGTCCGACGTTGTGTCCTTGGGAGAGACACTTCACGTGAAATCCTAATTTGGCTCGGTCCTTTCGGAGATGGACGTTAAACTTGGAGGTCGCACCTCTTAAATAACCTAATACCTAATAGTGCTGATAGGGGCGTTAAACCTACACCATTTCACCATTTTCACCTCAAAAACTATCGTTCCTTACAGTCTCTCCCTGTAGTCAGCAGTGTGCCCCCAATAACGCCTGGCTCACGGGCTACCCTGGGCTGGGGCCCATACCACTCTCTACGATAGCATGTTGACCCAGACTGCCGAGGTCAAAGTAGCCGTAGTCGTCTTTTCATGATCTTTGTCTTAAGGGGCGTAACATTATTCTCAATGTTCCGTGTTTTTTGTGTCTCCAGTGAGCAATGCCTCCCCATCATGCCCGGCGCATGTGCAGTCAGTGGCGAAGAGCTACACAACCGTGCACAAACACACGTGCTACCTGTTCGTGGACAAAGAGGTGTACTGGAACACGGCCCGTGACGCCTGCTGGGACCTGGGCGGAGAGATGCTGGCCATCATGGACGAGCAGACGATGACCTTTGTCCGGGACACGCTCAACTCGGACAAGCTGGGCTGGAGGAGATCGGGCGTGTGGCTGGGCGCCAGGGTCAGGTCACGGAGATGGAGATGGACCAACGGTAAGAAATATGATTAATTTTATTTGTTAATTAATAATAATAATAATGATATAATAACAACAACAACAAAGATAATAATAATAATAATGATAATAATAATAATGTAATAGCTATAATA